GAGAGACGCACAGAGAGATCTTATGTCCCCCAAATGGCTACTATTGCCAGAGCTGGGAGCTGCTTCCAGGTCGCCCACATGGATGCAGGGGCCCAAGAATTTGAGCCATCCTCTGCTGCTTTCCTAGGCCATTAGCAATTAGCTGAATTCGAACTAGAACAGTAGACCTGGGACTGTAGCCTAGTGGCTAAAGTCCTCCTCGCCTTGCATGCACTACGGTCCCATATGGGCACCGGTTCTAATCCTGGCAGCCCTGCTTCCCATCTAGCTCCCTGCTTGTGGCCTGGGAAAGCAGTGGAGGTCTGCCCAAAGCCTTGGGACCCTGCACCCATGAAGGAGACCTGGATGAGGCTCCTGGCTCCTGGCTTTGGTCGACCTGGTGCAGCTCAGGTCGTTGTGGCCACTTGGGGAGTGAGTCAACGGATGGAAGATCTTCTTCTGTCTCTCCTTCTCTGTGTAAAAACAAGTGGAGCAGCCAGGACATGAACTGGTGCCCATATGGGATGCTACTGTCATAGATGGAGGATTAGCCTGTATGTACACCATTGTGCTTGCCGTGTTCCCTGACTACGGCACTGAAGCATTTCTTTAACAAATATCTGAATATGTATTTTTTTTAAGATTTATTTTTATTATTTTTTTAATTGGAAAGGCGGATATACAGAGAGGAGAGACAGAGAGGAAGATCTTCCGTCCGATGATTCACTCCCCAAGTGAGCGCAACGGCCGATGCTATGCCGATCCGAAGCCAGGAGCCTCTTCCGGGTCTCCCACGCGGGTGCAGGGTCCCAAAGCTTTGAGCCGTCCTCGACTGCTTTCCCGGGCTACAGGCAGGGAGCTGGAAGGGAAGTGGGGCCGCCGGGATAGAACCGGCACTCATATGGGATCCTGGGCGTGCAAGGCGAGGACCTTAACCACTGCGCCACCGCGCCGGGCCCTGAATATGTATTCTGAACCTGGACTAGGCTCTACATTTGCTCAGTGTCCTGAGGTTACTTGATTGGCATGATTTATATTTGACATGATTTGTGAATGACGCTAGCTTGTTCCTTATTGAAAATTCTTGCCAGCAGTGCGAATTCTTAGGTTGTGGAACAATTCCCTGAGAATCCACACATTTTATGTTTCCCCTTTTGACTTTTTCTTCTGAGAAAAAAAAAATAGTTCCTGTTTTAAAAGAATTTATTCTATTTACAAGAGAGAATTAGATGAAAGGAGACCTTCCATCTGCTGGTTCATTCTGCAAGTGCTCATAACAGCTGGGACTCTGGCAGCCCAAAGTCAGGGGCCCAGAACTCAATCCAGGTTTCTTGTGGGTGGCAGGGACCCAAGTACCTGAGCTTCCAGCTTCTGCCTTCCCGAGTGTGCATTGGCAGGTAATTGAGCTATGAAGCAAAGCCAGGAATCAGATGAGGCACTTTGTTAAGAGATGCAGGTGTTGCAAATGGTATTCTAACCTCTGCACCAAATACTTGCTGTTTAAAGATAGAGTTCTAATGCTGCCCCTCTTGCCCAGAATTTCTAGGCCTGCTTATCACGAACAACAGGATTAAGGCTCAGTTTTCTAACATGGCTCTTCACCTACTGTCCTGGTCTTGCCATCCACTCACTTCACACTGAAGTCTGTATTCACTTGGGAGTAGACACACATTGTTGCTTCTAAATGGCCATCGGTACCCCTGCCTCCTTCCAAGTCATGCCACATGTGGATTTCCCTACCTAGGGCATTTGAACATGCTTTTCCCCTACCTCGTCCCCCCATGTTTTCCCATTTCCAAAATCCAGCTTGTCCTTAAAGACCAGTGCAAATACTACTTTGAATTGTATGGTTCCTGATTTCCACAAAAGCTTTACTCTGTTCTGCTTTGGTGCTTTGCATGGTCTCCTTCCTATGTGGTAGCTTTCCTTTTTTCAGTGACTGCTATGAGATCAGGGACCAGTTCTAGAGATCTACTACAACTAGAGTTCCTTAAACATTTTGTTTCATCAGTTCATGGAAGGTTCCCTAATCTGGCATCTTTAGGCCTCCATGGAAAGAATCTATAGAACTGGATCAAGGAAAATTACATTTATTTTCACTAACCTACCACTTATAGTTTATGTCATTTTTCAGTTGTGAATGTAGGAAAAAAGAATTATAGTAGTGCTACTAGTACTTCTGACTTTGTCATCAATGAAAATCTGATATTTTATATCATGACTTAGTTATTGCGGAGTTTTCAAAATATCACTTAATACTCCATTCAAATTTGAAATCACCGTAGTAATAGCAAGACTCCATACCTGGTAATTACATGCTATGTTAACAAACAGATACATATTTAAATGTAAAGGGTCTTATGCATTTGCAATATTCTGAGAGGGGATCCATAGATTTTACCGTATGGGCAAGAATGGTTCATGGCATCATCTCTAGGTGTACACTGTTTTCTTTCTGTCTCATATCTGCACGCTCAGTACCTATTCATCTAGCCAAGTCTTTAGAGGACTTACTTAGTCTTGGGTACTGGAGAGGTCATTTCAGGTAAGACACAGACCTTGAGAGGAGAAACAATCTACTAAAAAGCCCCCTGAACCTTTTCTACGTTCTCTTGCTTCAGGGATTGTTGATTTGAGGTTATTGGTTTTTTTATATATGGATTTATTTATCTATTTAGAAGTCACAGGTAAAGAGGAGGAAGGAGGGAGAAAGGGGAAAAGAGAAGAGAGAGAGAGAGAGAAAGATTTCAAACAGTGGTTCATTCACCAGGTCAAAGTCAGGAGCAGAGAGCTTCTTCTGGGTCACCTAGATGGTGACAGTGTCCCAGCCATTTGGAACAACTTCCACTGATTCTCCAGACTCTGGATTGGAAGTGGCTTAACTAAGGACTCAAACCAGTGCCCATATGGGATGCAGGCAGTGGCTTAACTGGCTATGCTACCAAGTCAGCCCCTTGAGGATTCCTCTTAAGGGAGCTCAAGAATGATTTTAGGCCGAGTATCGTCTAGTGTCCCCAAATTCTAGCCAAGGGACCCCATTGCCCCTGCGTTAGGAGGAACAGTTTTTCAGGGGTCAGTGGATTGGCAGGAAGCCTAAGGTAACACCAAGTCAAGGTGGCTAACCTTGCTTTACTCCCATGGGGCACTTGCTTTACTTGTTCCTGCCTTGGGGCCTTTCCTGTCCCATTGTCAATCCTGAAATAGATTTCCTCCCTGGCTCCCTGGTGAGATTTATTTACAAAGTTGCTCCTGCTCCCTGTGCATGGTCTTCATCAGAATTGTTTGGCTGGCAAAATGGTCCTCTGGCCTCTCTTCCCTGTCTCCTGGCCCCTGTGCTCAGGAAAGGCCCAGAGTTTCAGACTGACAAGTCTAAATTTCCTACCCACTTACTTCAGGGGACTTTGCATCTTTGACAATCCTGTTTTCAGTCATTTTCCTCAGTAGTATGAGTAGTTTGTGACCATCCCCAAACACATCAATTAGATGTTTGTTTTATGTGGAGCAAATGCTCATAAGGTCATCACTCTAGTGCCAAGCCTAACATTTGGCCACGATTCCAGTTGTCTCTCTAAATGCTTTCTACGAAATTGTGCTCATCACTGCATAAAAGCTTGCTCTTTAGACTTCCTAGCTTAATATAACTGAAATGTCTTCCCAGGGTTTGAGTTTGCCGAAGATATTATATGACCATAAACAAACTGTTTTGTATCTATACCATATAATTAGTTAAATGTCTATTGATTCAAAAATTTGTCTTTTATTTCTTTTAACACAAGCCTTTTTTATTTGGTAAGAGAAAATTAGCTTATTTAAATTGTGATGTATGACTTTAGACCTGGATTCAAGTCGTGATTTTTCCACTTGCTAGTGGTGTGACCTCAGGTAAACTATCTCTTCATCCTTAATATGGCGATGCCACTCTCTTATTCACAAGGTGATTGCAGATATTAAATGAAGTAGTACAATGATTTAGGAAGTCTTACTACCTGCGAAGTAGTTTTACTCTGAACTATTACTAACGTTGTTACCAAGTTTTTTGCTGTTGTTGTTGTTACCAAGTGTTTAGTGAAATGAGAAAGTCTCTAATGATGACATTTCAGCTATCCTCAACATGGGTTTGAGGACCTTTCAATAAAGGCGGTGAATACTTTTCATAATATGTATGAAATGGTGTATGGCTACTATCTTTGCCTCTCTATTGACTTGGCTTTGTTAGCACATGTATTTCTGCCCATGCCCACCTCTACTGAGTCCTCTTCCTCTCTCTTGGGCCCAGGGAGGCCAGTGAGACATAAATACAGGAAATATTAGCAATGCAAGTCAGTATATACAATCATAGATATCAGCACTGAACTTGCCCTTGGAGAGCACCTAGGTTAACTAACAGCTCCTCACCCCATGCCTGCCTTTGCACGGATGAGGGAGACTGAGGCCCAGAAAAACCACAGGGGCTACCCAAAGCTAAAAACTGAACAAATATCAGTGCTAGATGTAAAACCCCATGTTCTTGATCTTGTCCAAAACTTGCTTCTGCAATTAGCAAGTTGTGCTATAAGTCATCTTCAGAGGTTCATCTAACATCTATATTATGAAAAAAATAGGTGTAAGTTTCAATGTTTTTTTTTTTTTTTGGCTTCAAAATAAACTTACCTTTTAAGTCTGTTTTCTTAAACTTTTTGAGCTGCCCTCGTATCAATAATCTATGGTATAGACCGGGGGTAAGAAAGAACATTTTAAGCTTGAGTTAGCTGGAGTAGGTGTGGAAGACTTCCATGGCCAGTGTTGAGTCTTTGGTAGTATTTTTACTTGCACACTTGTCTGCTCCTTGGTACACCTTGCTGTGTGGCTGGTTAGGAGCAGAATCTAGGTTATTATTTATTGTTGTTAATATTCCCCTGTTCCTCCCAACCAATATCTAAGTCACTCAGGGTTCTTGGAATCCTAGTCCCCTCTTCTCTTGTTGAACAGACACTTAGCTCAGACTGCAGATGACTAATGCATCTCCTTTGATCTCATTCTAGATCAGTGTGCGTGTGACCACCATGGATGCAGAGCTGGAGTTTGCCATCCAGCCCAACACCACTGGCAAGCAGCTGTTTGACCAGGTAAGGGAAGGATGTATTACTCCTCAGTCTCCTCTTCTTCTGCTAGCTCTCACCATATGCCAGTCATGCATGCTTTCTACTCTTGAAATCTCTTTTCCTACTTGTTTCTTCAAAATCAGTCAAAACAAATCCTGACCCCAGGCTCAGGGTCCAGATTAATCCTATCTTTGGCCATGAAAAAGGAGGAAAAGAAAATTGGGATTATGATTCTGTGCTATGTGATTTACAAATATCCTACAGAGCCATCCTTTGACCTAAATGATCCCTTCTCCATTTAAATGATTATAAGTTAAATTGCTTAATTACACTTACCATATAGCTCCTGCTTTTTTGCTTCCCAGTAGAAGGAAAACAGCATACTCTTTAAAAAAAAAAAAGATTTATTTTTATTGGAAAGGCAGATATACAGAAAGGAGGAGAGACAGTGAGGAAGATTTCCCATCTGCCGGTGCACTCCCAAAGTGGCCAAGAGCCAGGAGCTTCATCCGGGTCTCCCATGTGGGTGCAGGGTCCCAAGGGTTTGGGACATCCTCTATTGCTTTTTCAGGTCAGAAGCAGGGAGGTGGAAGGGAAGTGGAGCAGCTGGGATACAAACCAGCGCTCATATGGGATCCTGGCACTTGCAAGGTGAGGATTTGGCCATTGAGCCTTTAAGTTGGGCCCCAGCTGCTTCACGTCTAATCCAACTCTGCTAATGTGCCTGAGAAGGCAACAGCAGATGGCTCAGTCCCTCCAGGTCTCCCACATGGGTTCAGGGGCCCAAGCACTTGGGCCATCTTCCATTGCTTTCCCAGGCACATTAGCAGGGAGCTGGATGTGGAGCAGCTGAGATCCAAACCAGCGTTCATATAGGATAGTCATCACATTATCTAACTTTGGATTTCATAGGAATTTTCTGGTTCTCTGGCATTTATGTTTATTTTACTTTGAAGAGCAATCGGCATTTAATTTGTGAAAATACAATTAGCATGAAGAATATTTAAGCATGTGTTTACTACAATTAAAATAATGTACTGACATTCACATAGCTTGCGTATGATTATAGTGCAAGTCTGGAATGACTGAATTTCAATGAAAATCTTGCATTCTCTTTGCATGCAAGTTTTATGTTGAAGAGCTTTTAAAGGAACAGCTTGATGAAGTCAAAAGGGCACTGGATGGAAAATCAGCAATCTTGAGCTCTAAGGCAAGCTGTCACTCACCTCCCGTAAACCCTACCCTTCACTGGACCTGTTTCCCCATTTGTTTGATGTTTAGTTGATCTTTTTTTTTAGTCTGGTTATCTGTCAGATTTACTTCTGGCATTTGTTTCTGCAGACTATATCTTTTTCTCTCCCATTTCTATTTCTACTGATTGGATGTCTAATAACTTTACTGTAGAAAGAAAGAAAACACCTTGCTTGAATGTGATTAACTGTCGGCATATGTTGTGGGAGGAGGCAGGGACGAGCTGGCTGGCAGGGTCATCTCTGTGGACAGGCTTCTTACTGTCTCTGGGACAAATGGGAAGAGGTGGTCACACACCACATAGGCTGGTGGACCCTTTGTTCCAGGCAGCCACATTCTGGGCAGCAGCTACGCTAGTAGAGGGGAGGGTGTCTGTCAGTGCAGATTTTATGGTCCAGCTGGGAGCCTGAGGCTCCTTCGGTCTCTGCCCAGACTCCTTTCCAGAGCCCTGATTCTCCTCAGTCCCCCTCCCAAACCAAATGACGCCATCCTCTCCTTCAACACTGGGGGCTTTGTCCATTTACATCGGAGGGGGTGGCTGCAGAGGGCACAGAAAGCATGATTTAGAGCCCAGGGCAGAAAAATCCTCGAACAAAGAGGTTTATTAACTTGGAAAAGCCACAAGTCCTGGTAGTGTTGGTTTGGTTTGTGTACTGTGGGTGTGGTTCTGAGGGAAGCCCAGATGGTCGGGAGTCCTGGCCAGATGGCTATGCGAGTTCTGAAAGCTCCTGCTTCCCAAAAAATGCCCTCCAGAGTCTGAGCCTTTCTTACTAGTTGGGGGAGAGGCACAATGGCAGCTAGGAAATGCTTGACTCTTCTTCCAGAGGATCAGTGTTGGCTTGAAAAGTGTCTTTTATTGAGCATCAAGGGAGGAATACCCACTGTAAGGTAGTTGAATCCTCTCCATCTGACCTCTGAGAGGCGAAAGCAATACCCTGAGTCATGGAGTTAGTAAACTGTGACATAGAATTTCAAAATGCAGCCCTGGTGGAACAACTACAATTTTCTGCCACTGCAGTACTCTACTTGTTTAGCTGAGGGGAGATGTGTTCTCCATCCTCAGACCTTAAGGGATTGCCATGGGAAGGAGAGAGCAGTTCCTGTTTGTGGGATCAGAAGGAGCAGAGCTGGGATCCTGCAGCTGAAACTTATGGGAGAAAAGATTAGGGCTCAAGCAAGATTTTGGTCATAGGCCCCTCTAAAGGCAAGAGCAGGAGTGGAATCCACGGAAATGTTCAGTTATAGGCGGTTGTGAGTTCTTTCTCCCTCTATAATTTGGTGAAACATGAAGGAGGAAGTCCATTCAGTTTGACCCTTAAGCCCATCATTCAAAAAGGCCTTTCCTGTGGAGCCAGGACCTGGGAAGAAGGAGCTGGACTCCTGGAAGAAATTGATAAAAGCTCCGGGGCCATCCTCAAACCCAACAGTCATGATCAATTACCAAAGAAGAAGCAGGTTAGAGAGAAAGCATCTTTCTTGGCCACAATGATAACAAAAAGGGGACAAGAGAAAACCATAGTTTGATGTGACGCAAAACCTGGTGGGAAAGAGTAGATCCCACAGGTCTTCCAGTTTACTTATACTTCTTTTTGTGAGTGTGCTTAGAGCTAGGGAGGAGAGACAACACGTTTTGCTGTAACAGTTCAGCACTTGATTGAACCTCTGTAGCCCAACATTCTTCCACAGGTTCTCCATGGTGAATTACCTTGGTACCACTAGGGGGCAGTGCCACCATTACGAAGTCCCCACAAGCCATGATCTCAAGCTCTAGATTGTCTTCTCTCCATTAGCTCTATCTCTCTTTCGCTCGCTCTTTGTTTTTAAAAATTTATTGATTTTTATTGGAAAGTCAGATTTACAGAGAGAAAGAGAGACAGAAACATCTTCCGCCCACTGGTTCCCTCCCCAAGTGGCCAGGAGCCCGGAGCCTGCTCCAGTCTTGCACGCGGGTACAGAGTCCCAAGGCTTTGGATTGCTTTCCCAGGCTCCAAGCAGGCAGTTGGAAGGGAAGCGGAACAGCTAGGATACACACCGGCATCCATATGGGATCCCGGCACATTGCAAGGTGAGGACTTTATAGCCACTCGGCTATTACACTGGGCCTTCCTCTAGCTCTTAAGAGGGTGAAGTTAAGTTTCAGAGCACCTATTGCCCATGTATTCATTGACTCACTGAATATTGACTGAAAGTGTGTAGTGCCCTGGAGAGACTCTCAGAACCTGTCCAACACCATCTCTGCCCTAAAGCCACATGGAGTTCCTTAGCAGTGGAGGCTTAGATAGGCACATGCAACCCCTTTCTCATAATGAATGAAAGAAACACCCCTGAGGATCAGGTAACACGGCAAGGTATACGGAATGTCAGATTTAGAGTCAGCCCTGAGTTCGGTTTTTGTCCTTGCTACTTGGCTGTGTGACCTTGAGTGGCTCATTACGCCTCTCGGGCTTTTCCTTTTCCTCAGTATGACAATCACACTGAAATCTCAGAGATTTTTGTGACTTAATCCTTAGATAAATAAAGTTCAGACATTCCAATTGTGGTTGTTATTATTAAGTGTTACATTAGTAGGTGGAAGTTGCTCTAGGAGTTCAGATGAGAGAGCCATGAACTCAAGAAGCATATCTGGCTCCCTGGAGTACTTAGGACTGGAGGACTTTTCATTAAAAATAGCAACCCTTTCTTTTCTTCCCGCTTGCATTTTGTCAAATAAATTCGTTATTATAATATTATTATCCCCATATTGCCAAGGAAGAACCGAGGCTGAGGGAGGGTAAGAGATCATTTTGAAGTTCACATCACTAGGAAGTGATGCTCCTAGGGCTCGAATCAGGGCACATGGTGTTTTCCATTTTCCCAGTGCCTTGTGTCAGATGTGCCCCGTGTGACCCCTCCCCTTGCCTGCTCCCCAGACTTGGCACCCCATGAGCATTCTCTGCTATACATCAGAAAACCGCTAAAGCACAGGCAGTGTGCAGGTACAAACAGCCTGGCTTGGAGCTTTGCAGTTGTGCATTGATTTGCTTTTAGGTGGGTGGTTGACGCAGCTCTTTCCAAGCTGAGAATGGGATCTCAGTGGGCCTCAGGTGTCTGGGCATTGACGCATTTTGCACATAATTTCTCACACGGTCCTCTTGAGGCTGCAGCCTTCAGGTTCCTGATCGTGCTGTGGGCCTCTGAGGCGGTTGGTGACGTCACTGGTTTGTTTACTCGGATAGGTTGATTCCTGGGGGGGATACAAGGGGGGAGGCTCTGGGCTCCACAGCAATCAAACCTAGGCAGCCTTCACATGCAAAAAAGAAGGAAAACAGGTTCTCATTTACACCTAGAAGCGCCTGAGAGTAGTGAAGATTTTCTCAGAGGCAAATTCTTGCTTTCACTGGATCTTGTTTTTACTGCTTGAACAGCATAACACTTTACAGCCTGTTTTGGACATTTTGGTCATGGTGCTGAACTGAATCCATAACAGCCAGTCCCCCTAGGTGTGTGTGCAGCAGATTGTAAGGGGGTCCACTGATCTGTGGGCTACATGTGATGTAGTACAAGTATTGGCATGTCAGTTTTAATTACTATATTAAAAACATTAGTTTATGGAGTGGAATGTGAAATTTGTACAATGAAGACTTAACCTGAGGTTTCAAAGAAATTCCAGCTAACTTGCAACCAATCTAATTATCTCTCCGTCCCTATCCTTGAATCCTCTCAGGATATGTACTCGTTATTTAAGGATTTCTTCCATGGCATCTTTGGGAAATACTTGTTCAACAGATTATTTGGCTGGCTGAGGTTAAAGGGAGTTAAGAAGGATTTTTTTTTCCCCTCCAGGCTAGAACCATTTCTTGGAATGGAGCGATAAGAACTCTAGTCACTTGGTCCACAGAGGTTGTTCCTGGAATTGGCAGCTAGGTGCCTCTCTCTTACTTGAAAACAGTTTCTGGTTTTTTTTTTTTTTTTCCCCTGGAGTAGAGGTCTCAGCTGGAAACAAAGCTGAAGCAAGCAAATCTTGGCTCCATTTCCGTGTCTAGGGAATTGGAAACGAGGCCAAGAGTTGCCTTATCAAATGTTTCCCAGAGTCCCCAAGACCTTAATTGGAGATATCCTTATAGCCTAAGATCAGGGGTCATCTGTTTTGTCCTTTTTTTTTTTTTTTTTGGTTTGTTTTTTCACAACCTCAATTCTGACTTCTGGTCATATTTCCTCCCCCTCACATGCTCACTTCCTTACTTTGGAACTTCTTTGTAAGCTGAAAGACATTGTTCATCTCTCCAAGTCTTGGAGCTTAAGGCAGTGGAAAATCTGTGTTTCTGATTTTTCTCTGATCACAAAGTTCAGAAAGATCAAGATTCCTCGCTGATTCTGAATTATTTCTGTCAACATTGTATTAGCTAGCACCCCATCCATCTTCTCAGAATTATTCTGTATGCCAGAACTATTTTGATTCCCATGATGCTCCTTCTTTTAGCATACCCGATACACAATATTAATTAAACATTAGCATGGTACATAAACAGGCTAAGGAGTTCACTCCTGGACCCTTCAGGACTGGCTAGGTAATTTGTGTGTTCCTGACTTCCCTTTAGCCCTGGGCTCTCTGAGCTTCTACAGCTGACCTGTTGTTATAAGCAAAGGCCAATTGCTTCCTTACCAGGTCTGTTCAATCAGACCTACTTCTCGTGACCTAGCATGCTGACCCTAATGATTTAACTTGCCTTTTAGCATCGTTAGTGAGCTTTTCTATCTACTGAGACTGGATTGTTTTCATGGAACTTGCGTCTTTCTACCAATTGCAGCTGGACAGTTTTCTTCAATCTGTGAAACATCATTAGAACTGATTATTGTGCTCTTAGTTCTAGTATGAAATAAAGAAAACATGCTTTAAAACTTCTCTCTTGCCAACCCTTTCCACCCTCTGCAAATAGCCAATACTACATTTCAATGTAAGCATTCATATTAGTCTATCTAAGACTTGCTGCCAGTTCCTGCTGCCTGTTGACTTAAAGTCAGGGCCTCATCTGTGAGGCTGTTGAATCCTGGAACCATTTTGATCTTTCCTCCCCACTTTTCCATCCCAATTTATCTTTGCTAAGTATGTTCCTAATAAGTCAGCAAGAAGTAGGTGGAAAATTGGGTTGTTTTTCTCACCCGATTACAAAATAACCTTATAACCTAATTGGTAAAATGACGGAGTTTAAGAAATAACTAATGTAAACCCTAACCCTAATAGCTGGGGACAGTGATGGCCAGATGGGGAATGTGCTGCCTTAAACTCACATGGCAGTTTGGAGGCAGAATGAGACTTTTGTTCAGGTTTCAGAATAGCCAATTCAAACAATAAGGAAGAAGGCTGGCCTGGTGAGCAGGCAAGCTTGATGACTTCGCTCCAGAAGAAGTTGGCTTCTCCCCAGAATGACTATTGACTGGGGAGGAAGCTAGAAATTACACCTCAGTGTAAAAGTGGTCAGAGTTCACTATCTGGATGAGATATCCGGGACAAAAAAAAAAAAAAAGAGGTGTCAAAGTTGGTTACCTAAAAGTTCTGTGACGTTAAGCTTCTGGGAGCCCTTGACATTAGGGCATAGAGTGCTGGAGATAGAGTACTAGAGAAGAAAGGGTACAGGCTTTAAAGTCACACATATCAGGGTTTTGTGGCTCCATGCTTTTAGATAGGTTCTTTCTCTAAGCCTTAAGTTTATCTTCCATGTAATGGGAATAATAGCTATTTCACAGAGTTGTTTAGTGTTCAGTACCTGGTGCATGATAGGTGCTGCATAGAAAGGACATACTTTTTTTCTTTGGACCTGGGCAGATCTAGATTGTAAGTTCCAGGTGTGATTGTGAGTCCTGGATATGGATATATTTATTCAAGAGGCAGAAACAGAAAGAAAGGATCCCTTCTGTTGATTCACTTCGCAAATGCTCACAGTGGTGGGGATGGGTAACGCCAAAGGTCTAGGTCTCCCATATTGGTGGTAGTAACCATACTGTCAGGGTACATGTTAACAGGAACCTGGAATTGGAAGCAGAGCTGAGACTCCCAATCCAGACATTCTGATATGAGACATGGGCATCCTAACTGCTTTACAGAGTATCCCATACGTGTGTGTGTGTGTGTGTGTGTGTGTGTGTGTGTGTGTGTCAAGCGAAGATAGTAATTTGTTGATTGGGAAGGATATTGGCAACTCTAGATCAGTGTTTCCTAGTTTTATCCACAGGTACATTTCTTGTATTCTCTTCAGCTCACTCTAGCCCCCTAACTTCGATCCTTCCCCCTCAAACAAGAAAAGGCAAAAATAAAGTAGGTTGTTGCCAGCCTGACCTCAATTAGGATGTGTCTCAGTTTCACGGCTGCCAGTGGTGGGCATGCTAGGCTTGAGTCTACAAACAGATCATCAACATACTAATGTTGGGGACTGGAAAAAAGACCCTATGTGTCCTCTCCTGGCAGCCTTTCCTTTCCTGCCCACTCCTCAGCAGGAAGTTCAGGGCACCAGAGGATCCCTAAGGTACCATACTGAGGTACTCACACTATTTACACCTTCAACTTTTCTGAATGGCAAAGGGCATCATAACTAGTCTCCAAGCAAAGATAAATAAATGGACCCTAGCACCTAGAAACAGCAAAGCTTCAGAGTGTATAGATCCCACAGTCCTTGCTTTGTCTTCTCACATATTCTTTGGAGTGTTGTAAATCTGTTAATTATACTCCTGGTTACTAAAATATAAAGGATAGTATCTGGAAGCATCCTAGGTGAACATGATGCATGAGTCAGTCAAACAGTTTCTATCTTAAACCTTTAGTCTACCCCAAGAGTTGAAAGTAGCAGAGGGAGGTAGGAAAGTGTTAGATTTGAATGGCTTTTGAGTTAGGGAAAAAACAAAACAAAACAAAAAACCAACAACAAAAAAAAAAACAAAACTCATTTGAATCCTGACCCTACCTGACATTGGACAAATCATTTTATGCACCTGAACCTCGCTTTCACTATCTATATAATGACTCTCATTTTATGATATCATAGGACTATTTGGAACATTGCAGAAGGTAATGGATGTTAAGTTCTCAATGTGTGGAAGTGCTTCCCCTCCATATCTCATTAGAAGTACTTTGTGCAGAATGATGCAGATACTATTTCTTGACTGCTGCCAAAAGGTGTTTTCTTGCCAGATGCCAAGATCCTTAAACTTTTTAAGAGCATGAGACTTTGGTGGCTCTACTTTTTTGTGTCCTCTGTACCTGGCACAAGGTAAGGATTCAATCAGTTCGGTTTTTGTGTTTTCTAGGTGGTGAAGACCATTGGCCTGAGGGAAGTGTGGTTCTTTGGTCTGCAGTACCAGGACACCAAGGGTTTCTCCACTTGGCTCAAGCTCAATAAGAAGGTAACTACTCACTCTTCTGTCAGATTTGGAATTTATTCCTCCACAAGAACTTGCTCAAGAATGTAACATGCACTAGCTGGCAAATGCAGGGTACCTGGGGCTATGTTTTGAAGTTGGGTGGTCTGTTGGCCCTCTGAATTAGAATACAGACAGATGACTCAGACAAGACAACCAATGTTTCTGCTCTGTTTCCACATTGACCTCTCGCAGCAGGAAGGGCCAGTATTCTAGGAAGAAGAGACCCTTTCCTTCCCATTGGGAGCTCTACCTTGAACTTCTACTTGTTTGGGACAAAAGTCATTAGTTCTTCAAGAGGAGCTTGATACCCCTTTCTTTTTCTCAATATTAAAGGCTTTGCAATAATGTTAGAGAACTAGACATTTGAGTCAAAAAAAAAAAAATCAGAGTCATACTGCCTGTCCCCAATGGGCTAATTGATACCTAAACCTCATACAAGTGCTTACTGCTTTTCTTGATCTTCCACCACAGTGGGATTCCAGATGGGATGATCAGAGTCTGTTTAAGCTGTCTGTTCTAAGAAACATCTCTGCAGGAGGCTGGCAGTCCTCCATCTCACTATCTTCAAACTAGCTGACTTTGTCCTTAGAGATTTCCACACAGATCATATCTAGGGGGTAGGTACTCCACCTTCTGCTGGTAGAATAATTTTCCGAAAAAGTTGAAACTTTTGCATGGACAAATGTGGCAGTATTGAGTCAGTTTCCTGTTTTTTAAGATGATGTAGGGACAGGCTTGCTGGCACAGAAGGTCGAGCTGCCACTTGGGATGTCTGTGCTCATATCAGAGTGCCACACTTTGGACTCAGCTCCCTGCTAATGACCTTGGAAAGCAGTGGAGGATGGTCCAAAGCCTTGGGACCCTGCACCTGTGTAGGAGACTAGGGTGGAGTTCTTGGAACCTCTCTTCAGGCTGGCCTCATCATGGGTGTTACAACAATTTGAAGAGTGAGCTAGCAGATGAAAGATACTCTCTCTTTCTCATTCTTCCTTGGAAATAGATAAATAAAAGTGTGTTGTAAAGATTTATTGTTATTGGAAAAACAAGTTGAGAGAGAGAGAGAGAGAGAGAGAGAGAGAGAGAGAAATCTTCCATCTGATGGTTTACTCCCCAAATGGCTAGGGCTGAGCCAGGAGCTTCTTCTGGGTCTCCCACACATGTGTAGGACCACAATGCTCTGGGATGTCTTCTACTGCTTTCTCAGGCCACAAACAGGGATCAGAAGTGGAGCAGCTGGGACATGAATGGGTACCTGCATGGGATGCAGGCTCTTGCCAGTTGAGTCATCACACTGACCCCACATAAAAAATATTTTCAAAATAATTATCTTGTTTGTGTTCTTGTCTATCCAATTCCCAAACCTCAGTCACACATTCTAATTTTTACTTTGCTAATTTGTGGACTCGAAGGAACCTTAAAGGAGGAGCTTTCTTAAGTTTACCCTCAAATTTATTGCCAGTTGGATATTTTGCCACCTAATGGTGGCTCAAAGGTTTCAGACCATCAGTGAACATTAGGTAACTTCTAGATGAAATTTCCAACAGGAAATGGTTAGACATGTCATTGGGTCCACAAAGAAAATAATGTGCCCTCTCTGTAGTACCAGGACTGTTGCCATCTGGGCTTCTGGGATAATAACCTTTCAGTGTCTTCTCCCTGCCCTATGATCTGCTCCCCAACTTATACCTTGAAACCTAGATTTTGACCGTCTATAACCCCGTGCTGCTCCTAGGTGACTGCCCAGGATGTACGGAAGGAAAGCCCCTTGCTCTTCAAGTTCCGGGCCAAGTTCTACCCTGAGGATGTTTCTGAAGAATTGATCCAGGATATCACCCAGCGCCTGTTCTTTCTACAAGTGAAGGAGGGTATTCTCAATGATGATATTTACTGCCCTCCGGAGACGGCTGTTCTGCTGGCCTCCTATGCTGTCCAGTCCAAGTATGGCGACTTCAATAAGGAAGTGCACAAATCTGGCTATCTGGCTGGAGACAAGTTGCTTCCGCAGAGGTGAGGATCTTGCTGTGCAGGTCCCCTGGATCTGTGCCTCTCCACTGGCGTCTGCCATAAGACCATGCTATGAGGTTCAGAGAGATAAGCTTGTGCATAGCGTCATGCCCTGTTGTTTCTCTGGCTTTCAATGTCTGTTTTTTTTTTTTTTTTTTTTGGTCTCCTCCCTCCTCTGTGTGCCTGATTATAGAACCTCATTACCCTAGAGGCAGGTGCTTACGTGGAAGCAGATGGATTGATTTTTCTCTTCTTGCTGGTTATATTTTTCTCAGTGCTTCCCACTGGTTTGGATCTTTTATTTCAGGACTTCACAAGAGAGAGAGGAGTACACAAGCCAGGGATGTGGGGGAGCTCAAACAAGGGAGCTTTCTGCTTTTCTAAGCTTTAAAGTTGAGCACTCTGAAACAATAATTATTTTTGTTTTATCATCATGACAACACACTAAATGGATAAGCAGATGTTATCTTTATTTCCTGGTAAGGAAATAGAAGTGCAGAGGTGCTCATACTGATTTGCCCCAATCTCTCGTTGCTCATTTGAGGTGCAACCAGATCTGTGACCCTGGTCTGTTTATGTTTTCATGCTGGGTCTTTTTTTTCCATCGCATCCAATGATTATTATTTCCATAGTTATTTGCATTATAATAAGCCAATCCTCACACTGGGATCCCTGGTTCTGTGGGTGCCATAGTACATGTACAACTCAGCAGAAGGCATTAGAAATAGTAGCAATGCTTTGAAACTCGACTTGAGTCATTGCTATGGTGTTTTGAGACAGTATATTTAAAGCATACCTTGTTTACAACCCAGTAGATCTAAAGCATACCTTGTTTACAACCCAGTAGATCTAGGTGGTTGGGCTAGGATTTCTGTTTTATACACGAAAGCTGTCTTCTCATGTTTGAGCAAGATTCTCAAACTGTTCGTCCCAAGAAGATCCAGGAATAGAGTATGCCTGGCTCCATGAGGCCCTTCCCTACTCTTATCTCGCAAAGTCAATACAGACTCCCGATACAGCACTGCCATGTTTGGAGATTACCATGTAGTGTTGCATTTTCTGGTTGAATATACATCCCTGTTATCTTTCTTGGTCATCTATTCTTGTAGTCCTCCTATCTCCCTGCTATAATTTTAGCCCGTTTCCAGTATGACCCCAATGAGATGACTCTACATTCTCTTTGCATCAACCCTTAGTGACCAAAGTGGGCTTCCTTTCCCTCCTGTGGGTTTTGTACATTAAACCACTTATCTCTGATTGCATTTCTAGAGTTCTGGAGCAGCACAAACTCAATAAGGATCAGTGGGAGGAGCGGATCCAGGTGTGGCATGAGGAACACCGGGGTATGCTCAGGTAAGCCTGCCCTGGCAGCTGTGGGCCCTGGTTGCCTTTGTAGAGAGAATGAAGACTAGAAATATTGTTGGATGTTGGAGAAAAGAGGACAAAGATAGTGCCGGCATTTAAATATAGACAGCAAAGTAATCTCATTAGAAGGGTGTTTGTTTAGTTTTGATGCATGCTAGTAATTTGTAGCCCAAATAGTTTTGACCATAAAGAAATGGAGAGGATCTCAGTAAACCCAGGCAGTTTCTGGGCTCCTATGACTTTTCTCCAGAAATGACATTAAGAAAGGAGCTCTCTGAACACTGCAGAGTGCTTGGGTTGCTTCGCTAAGGAATAAATCTATCATGTAGTCAGCACTACCATATCTGAGCTCTGCTAAAACGTGCCAGTATAATAGACTGTGAAAATAAATAGGAAGAAGAGAAATTGTTTCTGTAGCAGCTAATGTGCCAGAGACCAGCAAGACTCAGCCTAACCTGATTCCCCTTGGGAATCTCAGAGCTTAAATTCTTGCCAGCAAAGTTTACTTGACAAAAACCATGTATGCTCTGTTGTCCATCATCTGCTCACTTTCTGTCACCGTTTTCACTCTGGATATCCTTATTAGAAATGTAGAGCAAGCAGGCTTTCTGTTTTCCTGGCTCTGATGCATAGGCTCCCCTCTGGGACCCTCTGTTCTGTCATTTAGAGAGGATGCTGTCCTGGAGTACCTGAAGATTGCTCAAGACCTGGAAATGTACGGGGTGAACTACTTCAACATTAAGAACAAGAAAGGCTCAGAGCTGTGGCTGGGTGTGGATGCCCTGGGACTCAACATCTATGAGCAGAATGACAGGTACACCTCAGAGTTTTCTGAGTTTATTGGGGTCATGGACTCTGACCTCAAGCACTTATTTCTCTCCATGGAGCTCAGTCTTTTGAATCGGTCCTTTTGGCCTAGTTTAATCCAGCTTAGGTGATTGCGCAGCTATCCTCTGGACTCAAAATCCTTTTTTTTTTTTTTTGACTCAAAATCCTATACTGACTAGCTTTATAAATGTCTGTTATTGGAGGCATTGGCTTCATGGGGCTATTAAGCACTTGATACTCTGAACTGATGTGCTGGGAATGTACGCTATGTACCAGACTTTGAAAGCATAGTGTGAAAAACAGAATGTAAAGCCTTATTAATAGTTTTAAGATATTACATGTTTAAATGATATTATTTTGTTTAAATGGGGTTACTAGTATGATTAATACATTACAATTAATTGCATTTATGCTTGTTTCTATAGACCCACACGATGATAAAGTGGCTATTGGCCTGTAATCCTCTCACCATACCTTATTTTACTTGCTTATTTTTCCCTCTGGGTGAGACTAGAGATCAATAGATTATCGTCCTATATAACTTTGAATCTGGGAATTCATTTACTTTATCTCTCTACCTTTACAGCCTTGGGTAAAATAGTCGTAGTTAAATAGAGCTGATAACTCTTAACAAAGCAAACCTAAGAGACTGGGCCAAGGAATACTGTGTTGGTTGTGGTATCCGGAATCCGTTTTGTGCCTCTAGTGCTTACAACTGACCTGCTAGCATGTGCTATCACTAGTTGAGCTGACAGTGAGTCTACCTCCTCCTCAAGAGAGAAGTTTGGGGACAGGGACTAGTGAGGGTAAAACATCAGTCCTTTATGTCTTTCTCTTGCCCTTGTCCTAATATTGTTGGTTTCTATTTCTACAGACTGACTCCCAAGATAGGATTCCCTTGGAGTGAAATCCGGAACATCTCTTTCAATGATAAGAAGTTTGTCATCAAGCCCATTGACAAAAAAGCCCCGGTGAGTGACCCCACTCTGGCCAAGACAGGTGCTTGCTTGCTGATGCCTGGATAATGCCGAGAACAGTTATATCATTACTATTTTGTCTCCATTTTCTGATGTGTGTATGTGTGTGTTCATGAACAGGAAGCACAAATGGAGATTGGGGATGTAAGGGGATGTTGATGCCAAGAAATAGCCAGCAGATGCCAGTTGTTACATGTCTTCCTTGCTGTGGATAAGGGAGGGCCACGGGCAGTCTTGAGTGCTGCTTCTTAGCCATAGCCTCTACCCAGAATCTCTGGGCTAGAAACAGACAATGCAGCTCATCTTACCAAGCTTCTGAACCTCAGAAAGTGGATGCTGTTTATATTATCTCTTTATTTTTAATTGTGGAGAAAAGGCAATCAGAAGTCTAAATTGAAAGTTAATCTCCAAACTTGATCTTTGGTGTAACCTGGTTGTGGCCCTCTCAGACTTCTCTAGACTAACCAAAAGCCAGCAAAATGTTCTGATTCACTTAATTTCTCTAACATGCTTGCCATAGTTCTCATCCAACTCAGTTGACAAGACCAGAGAATAGTATAGAAAATTGAGATGAGAGTATACCCTCGCTGTATTTTGTGTCCAATAAGGGGCAGTAGCTATGGCTCAAGTTGAGTGTTTTTGTTAAGGGTGAACAAGGCTTGAGGTATTTGAACTTAACCATACTAGATGTTTTGCGTATATTGTTTCCTTAAAACCTCAACAACATGGTCAGGTAGATAGTAGCATATTTAACTTATAGCTGAAAAAAAAATGAGATTCAGAGAAATGGAGTGATTTGCCCAAGATCATACAGCCGAAAATGGTAGAACTGGGATTAATACCTAAATTATCTGGCCTCGAGAGCCCTTGCTCCTTCCAGTGCACTCTAAGTCATGTGAGATGGTAACAATTTGGGTTCAGTGACAGAGGAGGCAGTGGCTAATTCACCACCTGGTGACTTTGGTCCAGTGATATTTGTAGTAACAAACTCAAACTCACTGGATTTTCTTGTGTGTGCTTTTTTCATTGCTGCTGTGCTCAACTTTCATCAGAAGAAGGTAAGTAACAAAGTCAGCTGAGATCAGAGCTTCTTTAAAAAAAAAAACCACCACAACCAGGACAATTAATATTTGCATAATTGATGTATTTATCTATGTATGTATGTATGTATGTATGCCTGTCTTGTTCCACAAAAGGATTTAAGAGGTTGGGTCTGAGATCTGCTTTTTAGACACACAGGAGCTGTTCAGCCACCTGTACTGCACTCATTAGGATATGCTTCAGGAATTACCTGGCTTCCAAAAGAGGCCCCCTGAGTCCCAGGGGGATCTCTGAGTAACACAGAAGGACAGTTGATACCCCTCAACTCAATTGAGGGTGTTTAGGATGCTTCTCATAAGCAGCAATTGCCAAAAGTTGTGGTTTTGTGGAAAGAGAACTGGTTTTAGACTGAAGAAACCTGAGTTCTAGTCTTGGGTCTGCCACTAACTTGCTGTCTGACCCTGGGCAAGTTACTTCACCACTCTGATCTCTAATATGAAGGATTGAATTAAATAATGTTTCCATTGCTTATGGACATAGCTTTCCAGAAGGGAGAAACTCGCCTTCATCTGTACCTCCAAACACGTTGTGATTGCTGTTTTCCCACCAGGACTTTGTCTTCTATGCTCCCCGACTGCGGATTAACAAACGAATCTTAGCCCTGTGCATGGGGAACCATGAGCTATACATGCGCCGCCGTAAGCCCGACACCATTGAAGTGCAGCAGATGAAGGCACAGGCCCGGGAGGAGAAGCACCAGAAGCAGATGGAGCGGTAGGTGCTACAGAGCTGGAATGGGACCAGAACCAAGGCCAGGAAGCATCTTAAAAGTACCTAGACTGCTAAGGCAGAAAATGAAGCCAACCTAGGACCAAGAGGGAGCTGTGTAGGGATGACAGCTGCTTCCATTTAGTCTCAGGTTCCTTAGAAGCAAGTATTAGAAACCTGGGGTACCAGGGACTTCTAGGAAGGAGGGGTACTTCCTAGCTCCCCATTGTCTACGATTCATCCATTTCTATACTAGATGGACTCTGGGTTCCTCAGATAAACAAAAAGACAGCAAATGCTGTGCACATTTAAATCTGAATTTTTAAGGATTTTTTTTAAAAGCTGTGAGCCTAGTCTCAAATGTGGAGGGGGTGGGGGCAGAAATCCAGTTATTCAATTCATCACTGTTGCTTTCCAAGGTTGGCATTAGTAGGAAACTTAAAGTAGAGATGAAATGGGGAGTCAAATCCAGGCACTTTGATGTGGAATACGGGCATCCTAACTGGTAAGCTAATTGCTAACTGCCTCAATTTGTTTTTTAATTCTACATTTCCATGGAGTTTTTTTAAAAATATTTATCTATATGTTTATTTATCAATTTGAAAGTCAGAACACTGGAGGGAGAGCAAGGAAGACAGAGAGACAGAGTTGTTCTACATACTATTTCACTTGCCAGGAGGCCACAACAGGCGGGGATGTGCCAAGCTGAAGTCAAGATACAGGAACTTCATCCTGATCTCCCACATGGATGGCAGGGACCCGAGGACTTGGGCCAACGTCGATTGCCTACCCAGGCTCATTAGCAGGAATAATGGACTGGAAATAGAATAGGCAGGGTTTGAGCAGTGCTTTGATATGGGATGCCAGGATCACAAGTGGCAGCTTAATTTGCTACACTACAGTACTGGCACTTCCACGAACTTCTTGACGTATCTTGTATATATGACTTAAGATAAAAAATGCTGCACTATTAACTCAGTTAATAAATATTTTCATCAAGCAGAGAAAAAGATCCCAAATGCCTGCCCACATGAAGCTATCATTGCAATATGAATGCAAAGACATATAAAAAAAATTAGGTAGTACCTGAGATGGTAACAAGTGCTAGGACAAAAATAACAGAAGAAGAGATAGGGAGAAGGAGAAAGGAATCAAATCTCAGAGGGGAAAGAAAGGCATTTAGCCACAGAATACAGGAAAGTTTCCTGAAAGAGGTGTTGGAGCAAGAAAATTCTTTATTTTTTTTTAAAAAAATATTTATTTTTATTGCAAAGTCAGATATATATAGAGAGAAGAGACAGAGGGGAAGCTCTTCCATCTGATGATTCACTCCCCAAGTGACTGTAATGGCTAGTGCTGATCTGATCTGAAGCCAGGAGCCTGGAGCTCTTCCAGGTCTCCGAAGTGGGTGCAGGGCCCCAAGGCTTTGGGCCGTCCTCCACTGCTTTCCCAGACCACAAGCAGAGAGCTGGATGGCGAAGCACATGGCTGGGATTAGAACTGGTGCCCATATGGGATCCTGGCGTGTTCAAGGTGAGGATTTTGTGCTGGACCTGCGGCAAGAAAGTTGTTATCAAATTCTGCACAAAAGGTGCTTAAAGCTGGACTTTTGGGTAGGCAGAGGTAGTTCTGAGACTGGTGCTCTCTCCAGAAAGATCACCAGACATGAAGCATAGCATCCCAGGACAGAGCCTAAATTTGTCTCCCTGGATCTATTTGGCCATTTTATAGTTAGTGGGACTGAGGCTAAGAGCAAAAACAGTAGCATAGCTGAGATCACTTCAATGTGCTATTGGCAGGGCTGAAAATCCAGTTTGGGCCTTCTGACTCAGAAGCAAACTGATTGGCCTAGAGCATGTGAGCCCACGGGGGCAATGATGTGACATCAAGGTTGTGGCAGTAAGGGAATGTGGTGCAAACTCACTAACCCAGGGTGTGTTGAAACAGCAGAGGCTAAAAGCCCCAGAGTCTGGGATCCTTGCAAGTCCCCAGGTTTTTGTGAAGCCTTACTAGCTGTCCTTTTCCAACTTTATTCTTTAGTGCTCTACTGGAAAATGAGAAGAAGAAGCGTGAAATGGCAGAAAAGGAAAAGGAGAAAATTGAACGGGAGAAGGAGGAACTGATGGAGAGGCTGAAGCAGATTGAGGAACAGACTAAGAAGGCTCAGCAAGGTGAGGCTTGGGGCCAGTTTGGTGACTGAGTTTTCCCGCACCTGATGCTTTGAGGTGAAGAAACCCTTTTCGCTGACCTGCAGACTCACAGCAACTAGTGCTTTGTGTTCACAGAATAAATTGGTGAGGGATGGGGCAAGAAGAAAGAGTGCTCAGACTCTTTTGCCAGCTGTGCCCTGGGGTGGAACATTTGCAGGAAAGGAGCTTGAGTGTCTTCTTCCCCTCTGTCCTCTTCAATGCCTTTTCTCCTTTGCTGCCCAGAACTGGAAGAACAGACCCGCCGGGCCCTGGAACTTGAGCAGGAACGGAAACGTGCCCAGAGTGAGGCTGAAAAGCTGGCTAAAGAGCGTCAAGAAGCTGAAGAGGCCAAGGAGGCCCTGCTACAGGCCTCTCGGGACCAGAAGAAGACCCAGGAACAGCTGGTAAAGTTGTAGGAAGAACTGGGATTGTGGGGCCTGCTCCTTCCCTCTTGTCTACCTGCCTAATTACAACTACATCCACTCACAGGGCTGACTCTTTCAGGGAGACTTCTGCTCCACAAACCCTTAGCAGATATGTTATTCAGAATCAAGCTGAGAAGTTGCTGGCCTGGCCCCAAAAGCTCTACAGTCTTCCCTCACTTGTAGTTTCTGAATTTGTAGTTCAGAACCCTTAGGGATTTAAGCTGATGACCTGGCAGTGGACAGGGAGGACAAAAAAAAAAAAAACAAAAAAAAAAAAGACAGAGATTCACATATAGAGGACCTGCTGTGTTCTAGGCTGGCAATGGATTTTCCTTTGGCTTATTTCAAATTTTCTCTTCCCAGAAACCCTATGGGATTAATTCTAGCTAAGAAAATTAGGGCTCATGGAGGTTAAGAGACCTACCAAAGTCACACAGCTATGGCTGAGTAAGGTTTCGCACCCATTTCTGTGTCCTTGTGAAATCACAAGGAAAAGCTGGATTTGGGGAGGGTTGCACCATCATCCATACTCTAATCATTACTAAGGGTTTTGTGACTCAAAAATCACAAAGCAATGACTCAAATTCCTTGATATGCTCTTGCTCACACTATTTGGAGAGCAAATAGTAGCAGTGGGGACTGAGGCCTATCTCTTAGGGGGAGGTTAGCATGGAAGATATGCCCAAAGGGAAGCTAAGCATAAGCTTTCTTCCCTTATTCACATCTCCTGGTGATGCTTAAGTGTATTTTCTGTACTGATCCTAGGAGGAGTCTTAGTGAAGCCCTGATCATTCTAGGATAGCAGGCAAGGGTCTGCCACTCTAGACAATGATCGTTATCTCCACAGCTTTCCTAAGGCTCCAAGTGCATACTTGGCAATGGAGTTGGAGTGAGGGGGAAATAGAAGGGAATACAGTGAGGCAGGCACAGAGATGACTCTCTTGTCTTCAGGACACCTGCAGTCTGTGCGGGGAGCTGTGGCTTGTAAGGATGTGGTGAGTATGGAAGATAGGAGTGGAATGAAGGAGTCTGGTAAAAAGAGCTTCCAAGGTAGCAAACATGTAGATCTGTAGGTTACCTACTGATTCCCTAAGAAAACTAGGTTTGAAAATACCTGAACCATGAGGGGCAGAAGCCCCAGTCCTCATAGGCTGCTAATTTATCCGCAGGCCATGGAAATGGCGGAACTGACAGCCCGGATCTCCCAGCTGGAAATGGCCCGACAGAAGAAGGAGAGTGAGGCTGTGGAGTGGCAGCAGAAGGTAAGACATGGTGCCCTGAATAAAGCATTATGGGAAGTGGTACCTCCCACAAAGCTTCCAGGTCCTTCTATTTCCATGCTTCTCTGGCAGCAGACATTTTGAAGGAAGGTGTGCAAGACTGTCTTAGACATTTCCAGAATTCCCTTGTCCCGTTGGACAAAGAGGAAATCAAGGGCGAGGCAAATGGATTTACTTGTTCCACTTGGTGTCTGCCTTGTCTAGATTCTTCTAGAGGTGTACAGGTTATCACAAATCACCTCATCTGACTGCTGGTCCTTTTCTCCTTTGGTCGCCACATAGGCCCAGATGGTACAGGAAGACTTGGAGAAGACCCGTGCTGAGTTGAAGACTGCCATGAGTACACCTCATGTGGCAGAGCCTGCCGAGAATGATCAAGATGAGCAGGATGAGAATGGGGCGGAGGCCAGTGCCGATCTACGGGCTGACGCTATGGCCAAGGACCGCAGTGAGGAGGAGCGTACCACCGAGGCAGAGAAGAATGAGCGTGTGCAGAAGCACCTAAAGGTACACAGTCAGAGCCAAAGAGTCAAGAAGTCCCTGTGTGTTGACTCGTGGCTCTTGGTCTTCCCCTGGATGGCAGGATGGGTGTAGGAGCCAATCCCTGTGTGGTGTGGAAGCCTGATCCATTCTCAAGTGAAAGCTTGAAAGGGCAGGTACCTCTTGCTTGTTAGACTATGAGGATTCACTGTCCCACCACTCCTGCTTGATTGACCTCTTACATTCAGAAAACATCTAACTGAAAAAAAAATTCCTACTGAACCTACGATACATTGTACTCCTCTCAGGGAACAGTCATCACTCCTTGATCCTCTAAGTTTGTAAGCTTGTTTTTGGGCTTTATTTTTAATTCTTATCACAGTCCTAACAGGGCTGGAAATCACCCCCCTCCCCCAGCCCCTGTGTTGGGGGCTGGGGCAGAAAATCTGGTTAAAATGAAAGGAAGCTGTTGATTCCCGAATTCCTTCCCTCCTTCACAGGCCCTCACTTCAGAGCTGGCCAATGCTCGTGATGAGTCCAAGAAGACTGCCAATGACATGATCCATGCTGAGAACATGCGACTGGGCCGAGACAAGTACAAGACCTTGCGCCAGATCCGGCAGGGCAACACCAAGCAGCGTATTGATGAGTTTGAATCCATGTAATAGACACCCAGCCTCTAGGGACCCCTCCTCCCTTCTTCATCGGCCCCACTCCTACACCCTTGCCTAACTCACACTGTGCTAGAGCCACTAACTAGAGCAACCCTGGAGTCATGCCAAGCAGTCAGTGCAGCCATGGGACCAAACCTAACTCTTCAGCCCCCATTTATTTCCCTGGGCAAACAGCCCACTGTGGTGTCAATGGGACCCTGCTTTCCCTTCTCTGTCCTACTTAATCTAGATTGCTAGAGTAGACCACTTCCCCAGCTCAGAGGCACTTCCTGCTCAATCTGAAAACTCCCCTCCTTCCACCGCGCGCGCACACTTGCTGTTTCGGGAGTGCAGTGTGGAGTAGGTTGAATTAGCCTCTCTGCCTCAGCACTGTCTTCCTCTCCCACGTCCTGTGATTGGTAAGGTTGGAGTATCACAGGGTTAGGGAAGGAGGCAGGACCCTGGCTATCTGCACTAGGATGTCAACAGACCTAGGATTTGGCCTCCCAATGCCAATACCTTTTCAGGTTATTTAGGCTCTGTACTGATTGGAGGATAAAGAGATGTTCTGTCATTCTTGTTTCTACCTCCCATATTGGGCCTGCTACAAATTCAGTCCCAATAAGCCTTGTCCCTGAGTTTAGGGACTCAGTTTCTCCCCAGGAAGGGATGGGGGAGACAGTGCCTTCAACAGACTGCATGATCATCCTAAAAGACTGTTGGCCCTCTGTTCAAGCAAGGCTGGGTAGGAGATCCTTCCCCATTGCCTTAATGGGAGCCTAGGTCCATCTCAAGTGAGCTCTAAGGGCAGAGGTACCTGTTACTTATTATTCCAGGTCCCTGGTCCCTTCTTTGGATCTGCTCCTCCCCTCTCCAATTTCCAAATCCCCTCCAACTAGAACAGAAGGGATGAGTACCCAAAATCCCAGCTAGCCTCACCCTGGACTCTTGCCAAAACAGAAGAAATGGACATACCTGGTTTCAGTGTTTTCCCCTGCTGAGGATTGTAGGCCACTTCTAGAGATACTTGGGTCCCAGCTCCTGCTTCACAGCCATTCAGGTCTTGGTATGCTGAGCCCTAGAGCTTAATGCCAGGAAGCTCCAGTGGGGAGTGGGTACAAGAATCTGAGAAAGGTGAGAACCTGTGTCTCTGGTCTCAGGTTATTCAACCCTCGTTTCCATCACCCCTCCCAGCTCCAGGTTGGGACTGGGCTCTGCCTCTGTTTGACAAACCTCTGATCCAAGTCTTGCCAACAGCTGTGTTGTCCCATGGAACTATAAACCAGAGAGTTGCTGGGATTCTGGCCTAATCCCTTGCATTTCCCCACCCCTTGTTCTCAACCTTGGAGTGGCCTCATTCCTCCTTTCTAACTCAAGAATGCTCTTTTTTTCTTCCCACCAGTATTATATATTCTAGTGATATCTAACTCAGTATTGATTTCTACCTTTCTTGCTAATGCACCATTAGAAGATATTAGTCTCGGGGCAGGATCATTTTGGCCTCATTCCTTTACCTACCCCATACCTGGGAAGCATATGCTATATTATAAAAGGGTATTTTGCCAGAAACTTTAATGTAAGGAGCTTTCAGTATTAGTGATGTTACCTGTCACTATAGGTCATACAATCAACTCTTCAAGTACTTGGCATTTGGTTTTGTTTTTCCTGTTGCCTTCTCCCTGGGATTCAATCCCCAAAGGGCTACCCTGACCTCTTCCATACATTGCCCCTACCCCAGAGCATCCCTTGATAGCTCCCCTTCCCACAGCCCACCCCCCCAACCTTAGGGAGTCTTATGTGCATTGCTGTGAACTATATTGACACTCACTTGGTGATATGCCCTATATTGGCTAAATTCAAACCTGGAATCTTGGGACAATCTGGCTGCCTGATGGCAGTAACCCACCCACAGGGGAGGCTGGGGAGAAAGGTTAGATTTTGTATTCCAGTTTTTTGTGTGTATTTTTGGTTTTTTTTTTTTTAATGTTTTTGGAGGGGTTTATGCTCAACCCTTTGTTCTACTTAAGTGCCAATAAAGTTTAGGAGGACAACGCTCTGACTCGTCGTTGCTTTGTGATATTGGTGGGTGGATATAGGATATTCGCTGAAATTCACACTCTATAGAGAACCATTCCGCCTTTGATTCTAGCTCGGTTTTAGCCCACATTGGTCCATGTCTGCCCTTTGTAGCTTTGTGTTTTAAGCCACTATGACACTGCTCTCCATTTCTTGAAATTCCATTTGTGAAACAGCAGTTTGTAGAACTGGAAATCAGACTAAATTAGTGTTGATGCAGTTAAGGAAGAAGGTAGGAGGCAGAGCCTGTATGCAAAATGTGAGGCTGTAAGAGAGTAACACAAGGGACCCTTGAGATGATACACTGTCCTCTTGACAAGTCTCAGTGTGTCTTGGTTGTGTTATTGTAGGAAAATTTAACAAGATATCACCACTGGGAGAACCTGAGTGAAGGGTCCATGGGATATCTCCATACTGTTTCTTCCAGGTGCATGTGCAATGACAAATGATCTCAAAATTCTTTTTACAAAAAGGCTTCCATTTTAAAAATAAGAGGTGTAAGTGCTCCTTTATACATACCTAAGAGCAGTGAGTGCCTTCTCAAAGACATAGTGACATTACATGCAATGGTTTGAGTCTGAAAACACCCCAGACTTCTGTCAGCAAGGATTCTGAATGAAATTATGTTACTGCAGTGGTGTATTGCTCAGTTCTAGAAATATACTACTGGTATATTCAACATTGTGGGAAAATATCAGACATCATGTAGTATGCAACTGGCAAAAAGAAAACAGAACAATCATTCCGTTTCTGTTTAGTTCTAAAGCAGTCATAGATGCTTAGATAGATTGCAAAGGGGCACAACGAAACGAACCGTGGAAATACTCTTGGTCTGGGTGGTAGTTATACTGTATGTTTATGACAGGTAAAAAAAAAATCATCAAATTGTATATAAATCACACTAGCACAAAAAAGGAGAGCTTTTTCAAAAATTTAAAAATAGCAAAAACCATGGTCCTCAAACTATTTTCCTGTATTGGTGACATCCTTTAGGCTTCTAAAGACAGATTGCCTGGCTCCTTTTCATAGATCAGAAGAGGAGGCTGGGAATTTGCATTTTAGTAAGTTCCCAAGGGGTGCTGAAGCAGGTGCTTGAAGAAATACACTAGGGGAGCCACAGCTTTCGTGCCTAGCGTAGACCAACATTGTCCAGATTGAGTTCCAGAGAAAAGGGACTTGCTTGAGGTCACACAAACATAAGAAAGTTATTGGCCTAGAACTTGTTATTTTTCCTGGGCCTTCAAACTGTGGACCAGGTCTTCCATATTTTTCCAAGCTTACCTTTTCTTTCTATTCAGGAGGAGGGATCCTTTGCCTGCTTTCGTAAAGCCCTCAATGATGTCTGGGCAGGAAGAGACCACAGAAACTACTGAATCTAGTCTCTTCTCTCTATTTTATGGAGTTGGAAACAGATCCAAGAATCAAAAATGACTCATCCACAGTTAAGGTTGCAAGACTTGGCCTGACACCATCTCCTAATTGCTCATATCTGAACATTAGTATACCATGAAACACCCTTTCTGTTCCAGCTGCTGTGATTTCAATCTTCTTTCTAAAGAAGTCTCTTCCTGCCCACCCCTCACTTGTGCAACCAACACCGTTTATATATCTATGCGCAGGTGGTGACTTTTAAAACTTTTGGTTGAGATCTTAAGGGAGGAGGCTGGTGCTGTGGCAGAAAAACTTAAAAGCACCATCTGCAGTGCCAGCATCCCATATGCATGCTAATTGGAGTCCTGGCTGCTCCACTTCCCATCTAGCTCCCTGCTGACGTACTTGGGCACCTGCACACGCTAGGGAAACCCAATGAACACCTGGTTGGGCACAGCCCTGATCATTATGGCCAGCTGAAGAGTGAACCAAAAAGATTACTTCTCTCTGTGTTGCTCTGCATTTCAAATAAATAAAATCTTTAAAAAAAAAAAAGTCTTAAGGGAGTGGGGGGCTCCATGTCTATGGCACTCTGAGAATATCCATCTTCTCCTTGTCTTTTCCAGGAGCTCTCATTAAGGTCCTTGTTCTCTTTTAACCTAACTAGGCCTTGCCTTAACTTCACCTCCTGTCCCTGAAGTGGTTTAGAATACAAATTTATGCATTGTACTTTCTTGTATAAAATGTGAGAAAAGCCAGAATTCCTTTGCTTAGGGCCATTCGTTGCTCTTAACAATTTGATTTACCTTATCTTCCATTATCCATCATATATCTTTCCCCAACACTTTGCATACCAGACATACTAGGCCCTGGCTAGCTCCTCAACCTCCCAGAGTTCTTCATGTCTACATACCTGTGTCATAATTATAATGAATGTTTACGGAGTGCTTACGTTGTGCCAGATACTGTAAAGCGTGTTTTATACAGTTACTCATGTTGTCTTTAAAGTATCTTGAAGTCAGGGCTATTGTTACAGGGAAAAAAACCCCTAAAACACAGAATAAATAACACCCCCACTCCAATGAGGTCACACTGCTTGCAGTGACAGAAACAAAATTTTAATGTTGCCTGGAGCCTCAAATTCAAACTAACAAATATTCTTTCTTGTTCCTGGTCCTCTTACACCTCTTGATCACTTGGTGGTGTCAGTATCCACTTATTTTCCAAGAATATAAACCAGAATTTTCTCCTTAACAATTCCTTCTTGCTTGTCTTATCCCTGTGCCCCATTCCCTTGCCTTTGAAAAAAAAATATATAAATTTTCTTGTTGATGATGTTTACGCAGTTGATGGGGGTGGAGAGGGTTGAGGATTAGGGGAAAGTGGTTGAGACCATTGTTTTCAAATGTTCTTTTTCTTTTTCCTGTGTCTGGGGGAGAGGAGGGATACAGAGAGGGAAGCTGCATCCAGGAACCCAACTGCCTCAGTACCTGGGATGGGGAATGGCCACCCGATATCATCTAAGGGTCCCTGATGTGGAGGATGCATTGAGAGTTCTGCTCAAGTGGTTTCGATAGTCCTGAAATGCTGTCAATCTTGCTGATACAAGGATAAGGAAATACTTTTACAGTTCATATGCTGAACAGTCCACCCCAAATCTCCATCTGCCCAGATATTTGCTGTCAACGCTTGGCTGGTGTAGTTGACCAATTTTTGCCATCCTTCCTCTGCCATGGTACCAGATGTTCTCTACAGGCTTCAACAGACTGCCATATCCTCCATGTGCATCTGGGTATGCTGTCCACTGCTCCATCTAAGCCACTGAGGAGGCCCACTTCTGACACATGCACTACACTGTGACTAAAGATCCTGTGATTCTCATGGTTGAAGTTCTCAGTACAGCTTTTCAGTTGGAGAATCTCCATAGAAACTTGGTCTTTAGTGTTCTCAGACCTGACTTTTGTGTGCCTGCCTGTGCAAGGTATTGTTCAGTCCGTCATGCATGTCAGCACACACTAGTAGCTGCAATTATTGGCTTGTTTCTTTTTCCAGCCGTGTCTCTTATGTAAACCAATGGATACTGTGGCTCAGCTCAACCCTGCCCACCGCACACTCAGCCCTCATGCACACCAGTAAGAACAGCAGGCTAGTTGGAGCAACCCTCAATAACCTCCACTGGACCCTCCCTCAGCTCTTGTTCTCATGCTAACCAGTGGGAGTTGCAGCCCATCAGAGGGGTGCCCACAGTTTCCCTATTGGACCCACTCCCAGTCCCAGATCTTGCACTTTCCAGGGGCTTCTGCAGTTTGACAGAATTTGTCTCTAGTCCCAGCATTTGACAGCCAATGCTGTGGCAAAGCCCAACCAGCCAGCCCTTACTCTGCCTTATGCATGAACCAGTAGGTACAGTCAGCCCAGCCTGGCTCTCCCCAGTTCACATGCAGGCCAACAGGTGTTGTAGCCTGCCTGGCCTGGTCTACCCCAAGTCCTAGCTCTCATGCTCACCAGCAGGAGCAGGTGGCCCAGCAGGGGGAACCACCTGCAGTCTCCCACTCCCATAATCGCACATCTCTGCCCCCTGGCCAAGGCTGTTGTGTGTTTGAGTGAGTGCTCCAACCCAGTCTGGCATGGCCTGCCTCACCTCGGCATTTGCTGGTGCATGCTATGGTCTGGCCTGACCTGCCCTGCCCCCGGTTCTAGCTCGTGCTGGTGTGTGCTACAGCCTTGACCAACCCAGGCATTGGGAAAGTGAACCACTGAATAGAAGATCTTTGTCTCTGTCTCCCCTCCCTGTAAATCTGCCTTTTCAATAATAGTAAACAAATTAAAAAAAAAAAAAAAACAGCCCAGGGCCCTGCATGGTCACCCAGTGTCTAAAGTCCTTACCTTGCAAGCGCTGGGATCCCAAACAAGCTCTGGTTCCTATCCAGCTCCCTACTTGTGGCCTGGGAGTTCAGTAGAGGATGGCCCAAAGCCTTGGGACCTTGCACCAGTGTGGGAGACCCGGAAGAGGCTCCTGGCTCCTGGCTTCTGATCTATGCAGCTGTGGACATTATGGTTACTTGGGGAGTAAATCATAGTTTCCTCCTCTCTGTGTATCTGACTTTGCAATAAAAATAACACAAATCTTTAAAAAACGTTCAAAAAGAGGGAATGCTTTTCTAAAATCATATATCTAATAAGAATGTATTATTTATAATATATAAATAATTATATATTTTTATTTATTATTATTTTTTAAAAGATTTATTTCTTTTTATTGGAGGGACAGATTTACAGAAAGGAGGGGAGAGAGAGAGGAAGATCTTTTGTCCATTGATTCACTGCCCAAGTGACCGCAATTGGTGATCTGAGCTGATTCGAAGCCAGGAACCCGGAGCCTCTTCTGGGTCTGCCACATGGGTGCAGGGTCCCAAGGCTTTGGGCTGTCCTTCACTGCTTTCCCAGGCCACAAGCAGGGAGCTGGATGGGAAGTGGAGCTGCCTGGATTAGAACTAGTGCCCAAATGGGATCCTGACAATTAAAAGGCGAGGACTTTAGCCACTAGGCTATCACACCAGGCCCTATATAAAAAATTGTAACAATTTAATAATGAAAAGGCAAA